AAATGAGACAACTACTACAAGTGCAGTAACAAGATATGAATGCTCTGCGTGAGCAGTTGGCTCGTCAAAATCAAGCACTACCAGCTAGAGGGGAGCCAGCCCACAAAAATCCACCTATCGGGAAGATTCCCCTACAACCGACAGATAGATTGATCAAGAAATACTGCCAGCACCGATCGCTCCTGTAGTAGCTGAGGGACGGAACTACCACCCAGTAGAGGATGGGCATTGGGTATCAATCCTACAAAGGTTCTGTCGTATGAAAGCACTGGAGTTCCCTAGTTCCACAGACCCTGTAGAAGCCGACAACTGGCTAATCGATGTTCAAGTGGTCTTAAACCTTATGAGGCTACATGACCAAGAAAAAGTATTGTGTGCCTCTTACATGCTTAAGAAGGAAGCTGGCCGATAGTGGCAGACAGTGGAGCTGAAGAGAGACGTCGATGAGATGATTTGGTAAGATTTTATCGAGGTGTTTAATGAGAAATACTTTAATTTGGACAACATGGCAACCAAGGAGAAAAAGTTTCATAACTTTCGTCAAAGAAATTTTTTAGTAGTAGATGCAGTACAAAAGTTCAAGCAACTAGCTCGTCTATGCCCACACATGGTGCCCTCAGAGTGAGAGGAAGTTAGGAGGATGATGACGATGTTTAGAACCGATCTCGTTGTTGTAATCAGCAGCAGGGGTAGACCGCCTATAATTGTGGAAGACTGTGTTGGGCGAGCAATTCGTGCAGAATACTAGGTAAATCAAAACAGGGAGGAAGAGTTAAATTCTACAAGGCCAAGAAAGAGGAAAGGGCCAAAGGGAAACAAAACCCAAAAGCCCAACCAAAAGGCCAGAGCGGTAACCCAGGCCAAGGTAATAGGCAGCAAAGACAGAGACAAAATAAGAGGAAATGGAATTTCAACCCTGGGAACCAGAAGGGTTAACCTCAGTAGAAGGGTAACAACAATCTCTCTAATTGTATTAAGTGTGGAAGGAAGCATCTGGGAGAATATAGAGCTGGAATAAGCGGCTGTTACATCTGTGGCAAGGAGGGCCATTTTGATGTTAGCGTTTATGCCCTTAGGAATAAATGTAACAATGTTCTTCGAGAAATTTTGACTATTAATAAAGATTTATTTATTTCATATGTCCATCTATTGTCCTCTTTATGTTCATATTAGTTGAATGTATGATAAGCAAATTGAAAGTCTGAGTTTGTCATTCTAAATCTTTAGGTCATGCATGTAATGAGAAGAACATGTGGAAGACAGGAATCTAAAGATAATAGTCTAAATCATATGATCCACAATTGAGGGAATAGAGTTGGGCACTTTATTCATGTTAAGGTAATTATGTTGTCTACTTCCTAGCGGAGACGGCTTGTCTTGGTCGTTGGAGGCGGGTCTCTATAGGTAGAGACATTGATATAGTTTCTAGTGGTGAAATCTTTATTGGGTCGGACCAAAGTTGAATTATTTTAATTAATAATTTTGTTTGTATAAAACAATTCACTTTTGATGAATTATATGTAGTCATCTTAATCCTGAGATGGATAAGGAACCCGTACGCTTGACTTGTATCCTTTGATGTACCAAAGGGAGACATCATGACATTATGTAAAGGTACGCTTATTGGTACATTGTGGGTATGACTCGTGTATGCGTAGATTCGTTATTCATTGATAGTGGAATGCATAGCTCCTATAAAGAGTCAATGATATCCTCTTATGCATTATCTGTGGATTGCAAAATATGAACGCTCGGCCATTAGACTACTCTGTGTTATCTAATGGTTTACTATTTGTAATTGTAGGAATTATGGTTTTCTGATGGAGTGGTAATGGACCATAAGATAAATGTAATCAGGAAGGTAAAATGAAACTTGACCTTAAGTTGATTATGGATATCCTATGAGAATGATACGCTAATATATTGAGTCATGGACGAGAGCTATTTAGTGCTTTGTAAATGTGCTATATAAATCGAGAGTGCAACTCTAGGCTTTTAGTGGAGTAGCGCTATAGTTTTATAATCATGAGACAGACTTGTTGGTTTACAATAGCGTTGTGATTATAGGATCTTGATTTATATATGTCCATCAGGTCCCTTTACTAGCTTACATAATTTGCTGTAATGATACGTCAGACGTTGAGGCTCTTCCGGTTGCTGTTTGGAACACTTTGATATGTCAGACGTGCTGTTTCTTAAATCTCTAAAGGTATGATTTAGATCTTTAGTATTTATGTTATATAGCATCATGAACATGTTCTTGGTTGGCTTTGGCATTGATTTAAATTTTTTTGTAAAATTTTGCTGCGCACTCAATGCTGTATTTTCCAACAGTTGACACCGTTGGTGATAATGCCATTTTTGGGATATAATGCAGAAAAGTTAAGCTTAGAATTTATTTAGCCTAGGAATAAATTCAAGACTTAAAACAGTCCAAAATATTACGCGAGTAAGAATTAAATTGGATATTGAATTATTCAGGGATTAATATCGAATTGTAAATAAACAGTAGAAAAGGAACCGTCGGAAATCAAAACTTCCTATCGGATATGTTAATTCTTTACAGTTAGTATAATTTTTATCTGTTTCAAGAGAATCTTAAGAGATAAGACCAAAATACAAGATTAGACTAAGATTTGATTGGATGAGATGTGATTTGATAGTGGTATGTGAAGAGTAATCATGAGATATTTTTTTCTCTCTTTTCCCTCACTTGGCCGGCCATGTTTAAAGTGATTTTAACCCAAATTTAGTTATTTAAGTAAGGAGTTTAAAGGGTTAAGCATAATTACCTAGTTGTCTATAAGTAGAAACACCTAAATCTAAGCCTCATTTTTGCTATACTTTTCCTCTTTCTTTCACCAGAGAACCGAACCTTTCCCCTCTAGCTTACATACTCTCAAAAGTTTCCACCTTGTCACTACAAATCCTAGTTTAAGTTGAATGAGAAGAGGATGATTTCAAGGATTTTTAAAAGAGAGTTCTTCAAAGGTAATTTCTTGAACTCTCTTCCATTATTTTTCTAGCCAACCTTAAGCTTGAAATTATGGATGTAATTTCTGGTCACTTGAGGCTATGGTTTGTAATAAGGATGTGTGAGTTTTATGTTGGTTTTGTGTGTTTTGAGGTTGGTTTAATTAGTATTATGTGGTATGTTTATGCTTGGTTGAAGTTTTGTTCATTTTGGTTAGAGGTAAAATTTTCTTCTTACTTTAAACGCGAAAATGAGGATCTTAAAGCGAGATTTTTCAGCTAATCTCATACTCTCAATGAGTGTTCATTTTCAGAAGTAAGCAAGTAAGACAATAGGCTGTTTGGCGAATAGTGGATTCCGGTTCTATAAATCAGGTAAGTAGGAATCTCGCTTATAGTATGAATAGATTTTAAAGAAAAAGTTACACATGTTATATATGCATGTTTATGCTTTATGCGATGCCATGCCATATTGCATACACCTTAATAAGTTAAGTGGAACTTATAAGAATAATCTCAGTTGAGTGCCATACCAGCATCTGAGAGGGAGGTCACTCAGACTCCGCAAAGAAGATATAAAAAAAGCATATAGTAAGTTAAATCACGCTGTCGTTGGGGACCTTGCAAACCCCCAGACCCAGATGATTGCGCGCACATGGTACGAGGACTCGGGCCCATCAGTAAATAAGATAAGATCAGATAATAAGAATTTAATAAGACATGATCATAATTAAGTATAATTGGTTCATGCATATTCATTCATGTGAACTTATAGTTATTTTGCGAGAGATAGTCCCTACTTGCTGAACGCAAGCTCATCATAAAATATTTATATTATAGGTAAGCAACCTGCACATAATACTTGATGGATTGATGGTGAGATAATGGACGAATGATGTGGAGATCAGAGAATGGATACCGCTTGTAATTATTTCCACAATCAGTTTTACGTGATAAATAGTTTTGCTAATTATGATTTCGAAACTATATGTTAAATGGTTATGTGGATTATGGTTGTAAATAAGCTAAACTGAAGGATTAAGTGTAAATACGTATAGATATATATATATATATATATATATATATGCTTCGAAAAATGGATATATTAAGGTATGAATATTTTAAGCAAGAAAGTAAATTTGAAATTTATGTCTACTATAAGAGTCTTTTAAAAAAAATGTTCCATAAATTTCAAGAAATTCCAGCAAGTACAAGTTAATTTCAGCTACAGTGACAGTGACGTAAGAGGGTCGTCATACTCACCGCCACTAGTAATGGACCATTGTCGTCGCAAAGAGTTCTAGTGACCTCTCCATCACCAAGTAGTGAGCCATCATTATTGCGAAGAGGCGCCACTAGATCTGAAGCACAAGACCTCTCTTTCTCGGCGTTGTACGATTGGCAAGGAATAGGCAAAACAAATCTGGCCACTGCGCAGAGGAGATCTCTCCCCTTCGTGGTTGTGCGAAGGAGATCCACCTCCTCCACACGAGGAGAGATCTCTCCCATAGTAGCTCTTATGGACAAATGTGCATTTTTTTATTTTTTTCTGTGATATGATATATGATGTTTTGTTTGTTTTTGTATTTTACTTTTTCTTTTTGGTGATTTGGTTTCCGGTTGGAGGCCTACGAAAACGGTGGTTTCTGGTAAATTTTGGTGGTTATTGGCCGGGGACTTGGTTGGCACCAGTAGTTAGTAGCTGCTGATGACTTCTACCGTCAATACTGATGGTTGTCCGTTAGATGCTGTCAGGTATCTCAGTTGCATACATGTTTCGTGGCCGGGTACTAACGGGTCTCTCGGTTGGATATTGATCTTGGCCAGAGACCTACAATTCCTAAGTATAATGACGTGACTATGATACAATAATTTATGTCTCTTGACATATGTTAATCTAAGCCTGTAATGTTTCTCTAAAGTTAAAAAAAAAAAAAAAAAAAGAAAGAAAGAAGAGAAGAGAAAGAAACGTGACTCTTATTCCGATACATTACTTGTAAAACCAGGTTCTCCCCCGTTAAAAAAAAATAATAATAATAATAACAAAAAAAGAAAATTCAACTTCTCCAAAGTTCTCTCCCACCTCTCTCTGTTACAAAAGAGAGACTCACTTTAGCATAAGCCTTAGGGCAAAGCAGACATTCTTCTTCTTCTTCTCTCAATTTCTGTGATTCTGCAAAGCCATGGTGGAGGCCATGGAATTTCTCCGATCCAATCTCTCCCGCGTTCGGATCCCCGAGCCCACCAACCGTATCTACAAGCAGGAA